TCTCTCTCTCTCTCTCTCTCTCTCTCTCTCTCTCTCTCTCTCTCTCTCTCTCTCTCTCAATATTCAGTCTTGCAGCCGCTACCCGCTGGCCGTTGTAAGCAGGGTTGCTTGTGTTCTGCATCTATGCACAGCAATTGATTTAACTTGATTAGACTGCTGACAGTGATTGCCACTGATTGGATGGGCCCACTGACAGTCCTCCCCTACCTCTCAGTAACGCTTTCATTTCTAGAGATGAAGAGTCACTGTGCTGTTTATGGCTCCTCAACTCTGCAAGAGAGAGAGAGAGAGAGAGGGGGGGCGGAGGGACCGAAAATGGTGAAAAAAGGGTTCGTTTAGAGTCTAGAGTTCGCGCCGCTTCCTCGTAACAACACACACTAGCGATTCTGGACACATGGGAAGTTCGGAAACAATGCCCTTGTCTGTTTCTGGACGTAATTGCGGCCCTGTTCACTGGCACAGTGCCCCCTTTGACTGTCTCTGGACGTACTTGTGCCCCTGTGCAGTCGACTTGCCGGTTGTCCTTGGCAGGTATCCAAGGCCCTCCTTGGCTGGTTCTTCTTGTGACCCCCCTCCCTCCTTCCCCCTCTCACGCCCGGCCTCCCTTTGCAGCCAGGCTGAGCCAGCTGCAACAATTCTTCACTTGGAGAAACTCCGAGCAATGTGAAATTAATGCCCCCCTCCCCCCCTCCCCCCCGGTGGCAGTTCGTTTTGCCCCTCCCTCTACCGACAAGGTAAGGTAGGGTTTTTCGAACTGGTTTTTCTGTTTTTCCCCCCTGAGGAGCTGTCAAGCACTCATGAAGGTAAAATACGTGTTTTTTTCTGTTTTTCCCCCTGATTGCCCTGGTGCGGAGCCATCCTTTTTTGTTAGCCCATAATCTTCAGAATAGTACCCATTTCATTTGTCTTGGATCGTGCGTGCTATTGGTACCTGAGACAACTGACTCAGCTGATAGAGAATTAGAATTTGATTTCAGTGACTCCGCTGTGTGTGTGTGTGTGCTGTCTCTTATACACATCTAGATGTGTATAAGAGACAGGCACTACCTTCTTCCCCGAACATAATGCAACACAATCCTCACTGCACCGGACCGCAAATCTAGATTGTATACATTGGTAATGAGGGTCCGTTATGTTCGGAGAGAGAGAGAGAGAGAGAGAGAGAGACAGAGACAGAGAGGGGTAGTGCATGAAAAAATAATACGAATCATTTACGGATCTGTCAAGAATGTTATGGTTGTGGAACTTGTGGTTGTGTTGGTGTTTGTGCTAACACGGTGGTGAATCTGGTGATGGTGATGGTGATGGCCATGGTGATGGTGATGGCGATGGCTATGGCGATGGCGATGGCTATCATGGTCGTTGACGCAACTTGAGTGGCAGATTCGTATTCGAGGGGGCTGAAGCGCAAGGCCAGCTGGCCATCTCCCATAACTCAGGAGTCTGCATTGTCTGTCCGACCGCTATGGTTGATGGTTTCCAAGTCGGAGCGGTACTTGCTTTTGGAGGACAACGACACAGGAGACGTCCTTCTTCCGTTGATTTACATGAAGAGTGTTTTCGAAGCTAATTACAGCCGAAAGCTTTCCAGCTTGAAGAACAGGCTTGTCACCTTGCCAGAGAACTGCAACTACTGCAACTCCGAAGATCGTCAAGGATTTCTCTACTGGCAATGGGCTTTTGAAAGCCCTCATGAAGTACGCCCCTCATCCTTCTTCTCCTCCTCC